ATGGGGGGGACCGGGGATGGGGGTGGCCGAGCCTGAGGGTGACGGGGGTCCGGGGTAACCTCCCGACCCCGCAGGTAGATGGGACCTATTTCATGACATCCCCCCGTCTTGTCCCCTGCCAGGTCTACGTCCCCACCGTGTTCGAGAAGTACACGGCGTCCCTCCAGGTCGGTGGCAAACCCGTGAAGATCCACCTCTGGGACACAGCAGGTGGGACAGGAGGCGATGGGGCAGGTAGTCGTGCCCCCCCCCCCTCCCCAGCCCATGGATTTTGGGGTGTCCCACACCCAAGGCCATGCCTTGGAGGGGTGTTCCCATGGGAGATGGGGGGTTAACCCGCAGCCGTGCCCACGGATGTCACCGCCTTTTGTCCCCAGAGCCCCATGCTGTCCCCAGGCTGGAGGGGCAGCCTTGGCAGGAGGGGCACACCAACCCAGTAAGGAACTGGTGCATAATGGTTTGCTTCTCCACCTGGCAGGGCAGGAAGACTACGACAGGCTTCGCCCGCTGTCCTACTCGGACGCCAACGTTGTCCTCATCTGCTTTGATGTCACCAACCCCAACAGCTACGACAATGTCCTAACGAAGGTAACGGAGCCCCCGGGGTGGTGGGGGGCTCCTCCCGCTCCACGTGTCCTCCCAGTGGGAGGTGGCATGGAGCCAGAGCTGCTACCCCTTCAGTGTCCCCCATCCCCTGGGTGACATATGTCCGTCCTTCCCGTCTCCACAGTGGTACCCAGAGGTGAACCACTTCTGCAAGGGCATCCCAGTGCTGGTGGTGGGCTGCAAGACCGACCTGCGCAAGCAGCAGGAGGGACACCTGGAGCCCATCTCCTACCAGAAGGCAAGTGTCACCCCCTCGACGGGCCGGGGATGTCCCCCAGCGCAGGGCGGTGGTGGAACTGGTGGCCCTGGATGGGTCTGACCCCACATCTCCCCGCAGGGAGAGGCCATGGCCCGGCAGGTCCGCGCCGTGTCCTACTTGGAGTGCTCGGCCAGGTACCAGGAGAACATTGGGGACATCTTCGTGGAAGCCTGCGGTGCCGCCTTGAGCGCCG